GTTCTGCATTCCTCGGCAGGGGAGAACAGGTCTCTACCCATCTCCATGTGACATCCCCTCACATACCTGTATGTTGCCAACATATCCCCTCGGAGTCTCCTCTTCTCCAGGCTGAAGAGACCCAGTTCCCTCAGTCTTGCCTCATACGGCATCCCCTGCAAACTGGCCACCAACCTTGTGGCCCTACGCTGCACTGACTCCAACCTGGCTATATCCTTCCTGTAATGAGGGACCCAAAACTGAACACAATACTCCAGTTGTGGGCACACTAGAGTCATGTAGAGTGGTAGCAATACCTCTCTTGATCTAGAAGCCACACTTCTGGCTATGCAACCAAGGGTGGCGTTCGCCCTCTTGACCACCACATCACACTGCTGACTCATGTTTAGCCTGCAGTCAACCAGTACCCCGAGGTCCCTTTCACAAGTGCTGCTCTCCAGCCACTTACAACCTAACCTGTACTTATGACAGCTATTCCTATACCCCAAGTGCAAGACCTTGCACTTATCCACATTGAATGCCATCCTGTTGTCTCCTGCCCACTTTCATAGTCTGTCCAGATCCTTTTGGATCTGGAGTACCTGTTCCTCAGTTGTGGCCACTGCCCCAGTTTTAGTATCATCTGCGAATTTGATCAGAAGACTGTTCGCCCCTTCTTTCATGTCATTTATGAAAAGATTAAACAGGATCGGCCCCAGGACAGAGCCCTGGGGGACCCCGCTTGTCACTGGCCGCCATCCCGATGATTCCCCGTTAATGGTTACCTTCTGCTTTCGGTCAGTCAACCATGCCCTAATCCATTGGACAGTGCTTTGGTGTATCCCAAAACTCCTCAGTTTCTCCACCAGGATATCATGCGGCACTTTGTCAAAGGCCTTGCTGAAATCCAGGTATACCACATCCACTGCATCCCCTCCATCTAGCCATCGCAAAACCTTGTCATAGACTTCCACAAGGTTTGTCTGGCAGGACCTGTTTTTGTGGAAGCCGTGTTGTGTGGCTGTCAGCCTCCCTTCCCTATCTAATATCACTAGATCTCTCTCTATTATGAGCCTTTCCATTGTTTTTCCTACAATGGACGTAAGGCTAACTAGTCTATAATTCCCCATGTCCTTTCTACTACCCTTTTTGAAAATTGGGACCACTGATGCCACCCTCCAGTCCTCTGGAACTTCACCTGTTCTCCACGAGGTCTCAAAAATGGAGGCCAGCAGGCGTGAGAGAACCCCTGCCAACTCTCTAAGTACTTTCGGGTGTAACCGATCAGGACCTGGCGCCTTTGTAAAGTCCAATGCCCTGAGGACCCCTCGACTTCAAGGGGGGGGTGACTCTAATCTGTGCCCCTAAGTCCCCAGCCTCATTTAATCTCCTATGCGGATATCCCCCGTCCTGCTTTGGGGAGAACACAGAGGCAAAATAGTCATTTAGCATCTGTGCCTGTTCCCTCATATCAGTCACTGGATCTCCTTCCTCCTTATTTAGTGGTCCCACCACTTGTCTCCCTCTTCCTATTTACATGCTGAAAGAAGCCCCTTTTATTGCTCTTGATATTCTTGACAAGTCTCAGCTCGTAATCAGCCTTAGCCTTGCGAAGAATCCTTCTGCAATGGGTCTCCTCCTCCCGGTATACCCTTTTGTCTATTTCCCCCAGCACCCATTTCCTACGGAGGTTCCTCTTTCGTCTAATCCCTCTGACCACCTCCTTTCGCATCCATGGCGGTGCTCTGCTCCGGCTCCCCACCTTACTGACTAGAGGTATCATCAAGGCTTGCGCCTCCAAAACCTCCCTTTTGAGTGCTATCCACCCCTCCTCAACTCGCTTACCTTCCCGTAACCTATCCCAGGAGACTTTCCCCAGTCTGGCCTTCAGTTGGCCAAAGTTGGCCCTCTTGAAGTCCCAGCTTCTAGTGCTCGACCTGCTGCCCGTCCGTAGTCTCCTGATCTCAAAGCAAAGGATGGAGTGATCACTCGCATCCAGAGCTCCCCTAATCTGTACTTCATCTATCAGCTCCTCCCTATTGGTCAAGACCGAGTCAAGGATGCTTCCCCCCCTCGTCGCCTCTCGGACCCTCTGTGTGAAAAACGCTCCCTCAATAGCTTCTAGGAAGCGACATGACCTGGCTGCCACCGCCGAGTGAGTCTCCCAAGTAATATCCGGGAGACTGAAATCTCCCATAATTACTGTGTCTCTCCCCCAAGATATCCTTAGAATCTGGTCTGTCAGGACATCATCCAGGGTCTCAAGTTGACCTGGAGGGCGATAACATACCCCACTGTCAGGTCTCTTTCCCTGTCAAAACCCCTAAGTTTCACCCAGACTGCCTCTGCCAAATCCTCATTTGTGCTACATTCTATCTCACTGCATCCTATCCCTTCCCTGACGTATAAAGCCATGCCCCCACCTCTCTTTCCCTTCCTGTCCTTTCTAAAAAGGTGATACCCTTCTATGTTCACATTCCAGACTTGCCTTTCATCCCACCAAGTTTCTGTGATTCCCACCAGATCATACCCTCCTATTCCCAGGAGAGTTTCAAGCTCTTCCTGCTTATTACCCATGCTCCTAGCATTGGTGTACCTGCACCTCAACTCCTTCCTACCACTTCCTTTCCTTGGAGTCCCCAGCCTCCTCCTTCCTCCCATCCTCCCTGATACCTGGCCCCTCTCTGAAGGAGTCCTGTCAGTCCTGCAGTATCTCTAAAACCCTGCTCCCAGAGCCCTGATCCTCCCCCCACACTTGTCCAGTGCAGACGCGTTGCCTGAACCACCCCCCCGCCCCCTGGCTCAGTTTAAAGTCTTCTGGACGAAGCTCACTAGAGCATCTCCAAAGGACCTTTTTCTCATCCTCGTGAGGTGTAACCCGTCCCTTGCCAGAAGTCCATTGGCAAGAAAACGAGTGCCGTGGTCGAGGAACCCGAAGCGTTCCTTCTGGCACCACACCCTAAGCCAGTCGTTCACCTCGGAGGCCCTCCTGTCCCTTTGTGGCCCAAATCCCCAGACAGGTAAGATTGACGAGAAGGCCACTTGGACCTTCAGCTCCCTGAGTTTCTTCCCCAAGGCCTCAAAGTCCCTGGTGGTCCCAGCCACACCCTGCCTGGCCACATCGTTTGTGCCCACATGGATCACCAGGAGCGGCTGGTGACCCCCGGAGCGAACAAGACGCTCCACTCTGTCCTTCACATGCTGGATGCGTGCGCCCAGCAGGCAGCAAACCTCCCTTGTCTCCAGGTTGGGGCGGCACACCGCCGGCTCAGTGCGCCTCAGCAGGGAGTCCCCAACATCAATCACCTGCCGCCGTACCTTCCTGGTGCTTGTGGGCGGCCGTGCCCTGGCCCTCGCCTCTCCTGCAGTGGCCCCCTTGCCGCCTGACATATCAGGCTGGGGGTCCTGCTGGTCCCCCGAGGCCTCATTAGCCCCAGCCTCTCCAAGTGGAGAGAACCTGTTTCCCAGCTCCAGATTGGTGCCAGGAGAAGGAGGAGGCCGTGCTGACCTCCTCCTCCTGTGGGTGACATACCTCCATGTCTCCGCAGCTGCTCCTCCCGTGGCCTCTCCCTCAACGCTGTCCAGAAGGGGGCTGCTCCAGGGGGGCCTGGAGAGCTCTCTCGGTCCTCAGGCACCTCACCTTCTCTTCTAGCAGGGTCACCATCTTGCACCAAGGGCAAGTGTATCCCTGCCTCTCCTGCGGGAGAAGAGCGAACATGTCGCAGGTGTCACAGTGGACAGCAACACCTGTGACTCCCGCCAAGGCCATCTCCTGGCCTGCCATCGGTATCCCTTCCAAGACCTTACCTTGGTCCCCTGCCTTGTTAGTCCTGCAGTTCCTCTCACTTGCCCAGTTCTCCCAGACAAAAACCCACTCGCGCGCACACACAAGGATAAAATAAACTTAAATTTAAATTGGAAGAAAAACAAAGCACAGCACAGCACAAACAAAACAAGCAAACAATCAAACCTCTCTGTCTCAGGAAGGGTGTCCCCAGGCAGCCCGGGCCACAGCTAAGGGACGCAGACAAGGGACGACGCCTTATCAGCCTCTCAGCCCGGTGGCCCCGCCCCTCTGCTTCCTCCTGGCCGCTCTAGCCTCTCTGGCCCCGCCCCCTTCCTCTGCTGCTCCTGGCCCTCTGCTCCCCTGCCCAGCTCCTACCTTGCCTTCGCCAGTCCCCTGGCCACTCAGCGCTCTCTCCCAGCCTCTGCCGCTCTGCCAAGAAGCCAGAGCCAAAAGCCAAAATACCTGTAAGGAGATTGTTTAAAATGAGAAGGGAAGGGTTCCAAAGTAAAGTTCTCTGTGATGTCTGAATCATCTAAGTGTACTTAAATGGTGTGAAAACAAATCAAGATTAAATTAATGTTTCCATTCTTGGTTTGTTTTCAAACTATAGTTTAAGCAAACCACAGATGCTCAAGTTTGAAAGCCAGAGGGAACCACCTTTTGTTTAAATTAGAAGTGAAAACTTCCATTCTTCTCCTCCTGGTATGTGAAAGAGGAGGGGGCAACATGTAAGTTCAGTGCTGACAGTGGCTTGTTTTGGTAACAAGAACCATGGTTTGCTATTACTTTTGAAATGGGCCATTGCATGAGAAATTCAAAAATTGAAGAACTGAGGCAGAATTTTCCCTATGGTGATGAAAATCCTGTTTCTTCTAGTCAAGAAAGTTGTAAACAAAGTAGGCTCATGTGACTGTCCTATGGTATTCTCTACCCATTGAATGTATTTAAACTAGATTTACAGAAAATTGCACACCTGGAGGAGGGCAAAAAACAAAGTGAACTAAAATAATCTTATCAAGATATAGAAACTTTACAGTTTGATTGTGACATACGGCATGTTTTGTCATATTTGCTTCTTCTTGGGCAAGTCAACAGATGACTTGTGAACAGTAAGAAGGGTAGCTGCAATTGATTAGTATTTGTTGTGCGCAAACACAAACCTGGATTATTTTCATAGTTTCAGTATAGCATGAAACTATGTATAACCCTTTTTTGTTTATGTACCTAATGGCAGGATTCTTTAAATCTATTTCTTAAAAAGTTGGGAGAAGAGAAGGAAAGCCTCCGGAACCAGCTGAAAGATTATGAGCTGAGATTGGAACAAGAAGCAAAGGTTTGTATTCTGTCATAACTACCACCTCAGATTGATTGATTGATTTAGAGTATTTGTATGCTGTCCCATCGCATAGGCTTGGGACGGCTTACATAAAATGCCTCTTATTTGGTGTCTTATCTGACACACTGTTGCCTGCAAGGATGATGAAAAGTATGTTTGTATGCTCTCGTGCGCTTTCTCTATATTAATATATATATATATATATATATATATATATAGAGAGAGAGAGAGAGAGAGAGAGAGAGAGAGAGAGAGCGCGCGCGCGCGCGCGCGCGCACGTGCGAATGAGCAACAGTCCTGAGCTATGTTTGTTCTCTAATCTTCTGTCAGTTATCCTGTCGTAACCACTTACCTGTTGTTTGGAATTTAGGCTTACCATAAAGCTAATGATGAACGTCGTGCATACTTAGCGGTGATGTCACAAGTAAGTCCAAAAACCTCTCTAGTCTGATGGGAAGACATTTTATTCTAATCTGTTCATTACTTTTTTCCCCACTGGACTTTTTATTTTAAGTTGATTTACCTCCAAGCCAGGAAACTCTGCAAAGCTAAGTCTGACTCAGCTGGAAAGACAGAAAGGGATGTTAATCATTTATGCCATCTTGTTGCCCTTGTAGGCTTAATAGTTGAATCTGTGCTGTTACAAGACCTCAGCACTTGTCAGCCCCTAGACTACTCTGTTCCCTTTCCCTTCCCGCTTCCTTTAGTGCATCACATTTTAGTTCTCACAGACGGGTTCTTCATATATAACATCCTCCTTCATCCCCATGTCCAGTTGTATTAAAAATAATCCAGGGCATGATTTCTCTTTGTGAACATCATAGTGTGGAAGACTTTCATTAATATATTTTCATTTCTCATATGTTGTCATCTGTCTCTGTCAGGCTTGACCATACCTTTTTTTGATGGCTGGGATAGCTCTCAGTCTATTTCAAGTCTGTATCAGTTTCACATGTGTCCATTTTTAAGTTCTTTCCATTATACAACTGGGTTGTATTTGCAATTCTCTGTTTTATTTTATGCTGGTGTTTGATTTTTCTTTTTTCTTGTAGAACTTTTGCTGCTGTTGCTATTTTTATTGTGTTTTACTGTTTTCATTATGTGTTTCATTGTTTTCTGCTGCCTTTTTTTTATAAATTTTTATTAAAATTTTAAAGTAACTCTATTTATTTATTTATTTAAAACATTTCTATGCCTCCCCCATCACAACAAAGCTTCAGGGCAGCTCACAACAAAAACAAAACCATACAAAATTATACAAAAATTATACACTAAAAATATTAAAACCCGGTGCATCTTGGCTTAAAATTTTTTAAAATCCTACATAATAAATTAACACTTAAAATAAGTTTTAAATAAAAAGGTCTTAGCCTGGTGCTGAAAAACAAATAATGACAGCGCCAGGCGGACCTCTCTGGGGAGCGCATTCCATAGGTGGGGCGCCACCGCAGAGAAGGCCCTACTCCGGGTACTCACCCTCCTAATATCATTCACAGAGGGTTCCCGGAGAAGGGCATCTGTTGCTAAAAACATCAAACTAAAAACATCAAACATCACATACATCGGATTTACTGGGTCAACCCCGCTTCTACATATGTTTTTACATTCTAAAGTCAAATTCAAATCAATTTATAATAATTTGAAAACATCTCTAAGTTTACGCCAAGTCCCATTTCTCCAACCAGTTATAAAAAGAATCCCAAGTTTGATAGAAGTCAGTGTCCTCTTTCTCCTTCAATGATAAAGTCAATCTATCCATTTCTGCACAGTCCAAGATCTTTTTTACAATCAATCCATCGGTGGGCAGTTCCTCACTTTTCCAATATTGAGCAAATGCAATCCTCGCCGCTGTGATTAGGTGCAGTATCAGATACATTTCCTTTCTGTTAACGTCTTCCGGTATGATACCTAACAAGAAAACTGCTGGTTTAAAAGCAAAGGGTTTCTGTAATATTTCCTCCATCCATCTATGTATTATAATCCAATACTTTTTCGCATTATCACAAGTCCTGTTTTCTGCTGCCTTGAGGGAGTTCCTGCCCAGAAAGGCAGTCAATAAATTTTGTAAATAAAATACAAAATTTTGGCATTAATCTGCACCCAAAAAATCTTATTGGAACAACAGTTAATATTTAAGATTTTTGCACGATGTTGGGAGGCTGTTCTCAGTAACAGTGTACGTTATATTTGTTTAAAAATGGGAGATCAACCATTGTTTTGATGAAACCTGAAGCTACCTGTTAATCACCTGGTAAATTCTGATTTGAATGTCTACAGATCCTTCAGTTCCATTATATTTTAAGACTCTGACCATACTGCAGACATGATGACTTTGCATTTTAAAATGTGCTTTCTTTAAAACTATGTTTTTCTGAATGTGTTTTATTCTAAAATATGCATTTATATGCACTCTGGCATTTTTGTGCAAAGGATTGCATCACACATTTCAAAGGAGAGTGAAATCTGGAGGGTAACAGTTGCCTGAACCCCACATTAACCTGGGAGGTGAACATGAGGTCGGTTTGTTTAAAAGATGTAAAGCAAGCAAAATCATTGTGCATCCGCAGTAGACACTAGATTTTGTTGCCCTTTCCGATGGTTCCATAACTTCAGTTTAAATGAAACTTTGAAATGTAAATGTCATCCATTCTTTACGTAATGCATTTGAGACTGACTGACTGGAAGTGAGGAAAATGTTAGATGTCCTTTTCCAAGGCATTCTCCTGTCTGTAAAACAGGCAGACAACATGTAGGTGAAAACATCTGGAGGGCTACAGCTCCCATCAGTTTGAATCAGCACAGCTAATGGTAAGGAATCATGGGAGCTGTAGGCCACCAATTTCTCACCCCTGCTGTAAAACTCTATAAGTACCTGGAGAGCTGCCAGTGTCCTGTCTACAAATGTTATTGAGTGTATTAACTTGATTATTTGCAAAAAAGACTGATATGCTGCTCTAATACTCCTCATGGTGGCTTACAAAACAAATTCATATGAAAACATAAGTAAACATCTTAATGAGACAACCACTTTCATACACAAAGGAAAACAGCAAGCAATGTAAGAGCCTCTGAATAATCTAGTATATATAGTTTATAAGTATTGTACAGACATTGAGAACGATACTCTCTTGCAATCCTCATGTAGTGGGAAGAAACTGTTCTTTAAATAGTATAAAAGGTAGACTTACTTGGCATGATACCTTATCATTGCTACAAACAAACAACTGTCATTCAATTCATTGTGTCCTGAAGCAGAGAGAAAGGAAGACTGTAATTAGCAGTATTCCCTTGTATTTAACCAGAAAGCAAATGATCTGTATAATTATCTCTGTATTATGGAATGAGATGTAGTTGTTGGAGAATATTTCCCATTTTTGGCCTACTGATGCTGATGCATCAGTATTTTGCAAGATGTGCCCAGTGTTAAGGAGACTGGAATGGACAAAGGAGGTATATGTCTGTTTACGGGCACCATTTTATTTAAATTCTCTTAACACCCTTAACAAGGGAGATTTAATATTTTGTGCCTGGGAGGGCATGCCAGCAACTAAAGGATGGTGCAGATTTTCTCTTTCCCCCACCAGCTGAGGCATTAAGGTATGACTTCACAGAAGGAAATGAGACTACAGTGGTACCTTGGCTCACAAACTTAATCCATTCCAGGACTCTGGTCATGACCCAAACTGATCGTGAGTCAAGTTAAATTTCCCAATAAGGTTCAATGTAAATGAGGTTAATCCATTCTGTAACTATTTTTTTTAATCAGAAAAATGTGAAAAAGCCAAGTGACAAAGAACAACAAAGATCGGAGCCATCTCCCCCATGCCCAAGCATGAGCCTGGCCATCTCCCCGCCCCCCGGCATGACCGCAATTGCACCTGTCATCCCTGCACACTCCTGTCATTCCGGTGTGCTGGGGGTGGGGAGAGACAAGCACGAACATGGGTGCACTCGGGGGGAAGATGGCCAAGATTGTGGTTGCGCTCATGCAGGAAAGATGGGCGCAATCACGTTCGCTCTCCTGCAGGAAAGGGGTGTGATCTCGGCCATCTCCCTCTCGCCCCCAGCATGATCACAGCCATCTCCCCACTCGAGGGTGGGGGGAGATGCCTGGAGAGTTAGGGGTGAGGAGAAAAGGAGGAAAGGGTCTCTACAGGTCCCCAATACCCAAGAACCTCTCCACACTCCTGATCCCTGAAAGGCAGTTCAGCTAGATGGGCTAAGGGACATGTTTAAACTAGAATGTTCAAAGGCAGGAATAGAAGGCAAAAATGCTCTGTTATTCCTTCTGCCTTGCTTTAGGATAGATGGAGGGTTTGAAAAACAGAGCCCTCCTAAAGGGCACAAGTCCCTTAGGATTGCACCCTTAACCAGCTTTCGATATGGTCAAGTGATCAGAAAAATAAATAGAACTGATGCAATCCAGACAGTTGGGTGCTTCTGTGTCTCTTAAAAATCAATTTGACTTCAACAGTTAATATTTCAACCTTTTAAGTGGGACAAGAAATATGAGTCTCTGAAGAGTAATTGCTATGGTTATTGTGATTGAAGCAGTTTCTTATTTATTCCTATTTTTATTTTAGCTACACAAAGAGTTGGTAGAAGTTATTATTTGGGACCCCTCATGTAAGGTTATTCCCTCCCTCCCTTCCTAGTGTGAAAAAACAAATATTTTGCCATTTTGTCTGAAATGGCAAACTACTGCCAATGATGGTGTGCTTGCTGCTGAAAGCCATCATTTGCATGAGGAGGAAGCTACTTGGTGAAGGCTCATTCTACTTGTGCCAAATGATGATCTGGCATTTTGATCAAACCAATCTGCACTGTTCTTTGTAACAGCCATTTAAAGTGAGTTAGTTGCCTTGGAATATAAAAACAGCAGATACTGGCATGCAGTTGTATCTGCCTATTCAGAATATTTGCAAGCTGCCCCATGAGGTAAAGCTTTCCTGGTGGCTTACAGTGAACGCACATAAGAATAATTTAAATGTGAAGGGTGCAATCTTACTGCAGTGCCTGTACAATCCCAAATGCAGAGACCTTTGGGCACCCTGTGCAGAGCAAGCACAATATAGACATGGTCTTCACTTTCCCATTTTCCCACCCTGCATTTTTCACTAGATGGACTTTTTCTCCCACCTAGCAGGAATGTTTCTATTTTATGGAGAGGCTGGAGGGGCTGCAGGGTACTTCTGCTGCCTTCTTCCTTCCAAAACATCCCCTTTTACCCATTTCCAAGATTACTTTCCTGAGCTTAGCAGCCAGCATGGTCCTTTTTGTGCTGGCTGTGCTGGGGAAGGGCAAAGCTCCGGTTCCTAATTCTGATGTCCAAATTCTGTCTCTAGTCTTGAGACCATAGGACTGCTTCAGTTATAAAATGTAGGCTCTCTGGGCAGTTCACAACATAGCAATTATGTGTTAAAGATCTCTGAAGCTCTCTTTGGTATGGCTGCAGCTATTTCCCTGCACTCAAGCAAACTTCCCCATCCTGATTCTCCAGATGTTTAGACTCCAGATGTTTTGAACTGCAAAATAGCCCTTGGTATTTACTTGGGAATGATGGGAGTTGTTGAAAACATCTGAAAAACACAATGTTGAAGAAGTCTAATGTAGTGTTAAGGATCAACATATATTTACTTTTGCAGATATCAGGCTCACACAAACCATTAGAGAGGCAAAAGATGGAGGCTGTGGAAATGAAGAGGGAAAACCAACTTCTGAGGTAAATAATGTCCATTATTTATTTTTTTTTCTCTGCCTAGCCCTTCCTTTCAAGTTGTTCAGAGCAGCTTACACTGAGTTTACCTATTTATTACCACAACTTAGTAAGAGAGAACATGATATAGTGGCTAAAATGTTGGATTAGGTTTTGAGTTCTCGTCCCCACTTGGCCATGAAACTCACAGGGTGGCTTTGGGCCAGTCACTGACTTTGAGCCTCACCTACTTTCCTGAGGATATTTGTTCTGAGGGTGGAATGGAGAAGAGAAGAACCATGTAAGCTGCCTTTGGTTCCTTGGTGATAAAAAGGCAGAATAAAAATGAAAACATTCTGTAAGGCAGGTTAGGCTGACAAGTATTGGTCCAGGATCATCCAATGGCTGCACCAGGAATTGAACATGGGCTTTGATTGGAGCACTATGTTCATTACACTGCATTTCACTGCATATCACTTAAAAGTTGCATTATTTCACCCAAGTGCAGAGGCCATGTGGGCTGGTGGTTTCCATCTTTTCTTTCTTATCGGTACCTCGACTAGTAGCCTTTGCCAGCTCACATGATTTAACCAGCATGGCACTGTTTACTGTGCACATGCAAGTCACGCCCATTCTCTTCGCATTAGTTGTTAGTTAATGGATCTGGGTTCATTCAGGTCAGAATAGGCCCTAGTTGATACAGCAAAGCCTTCAAACAAATGTATGCAGCTGTCAGAGTTGAAGACACTCACTGCCCCTTGTGAGGGAAGCTACTGGCACCATAACCCCTGAGGAGAGGGGTCTGCCCATTCCATACTTCAGGAAGAGCTGCCCGCAGCTGTGGGGAGGAGGCAGGCACCTGTGGCCTACTGTCTCCTGGTTTAAAACTGTACCAACTGTAAAGGCACTTAGAGTGCCATTTTTTGTAAAAGATGGGGTACAGGAAATTCCATTAAATAAATAAAATAATGTGGTGCACTAAATAAGAAAGTCAGCCACCTAATGACTGACAGCAGTACTGTACTTGGACACATTTTAATTAATTAAAATTCATGAATGCATTTTTAAACAAAATATTCTTAAAAGTGCACACCTGTATAGCCCTTCTCCCCTAGTTTGTGTGCCAGATTTCAATTTAGTGTGCCAATTTAGTATGAGCACTCTTGGTACTATGACATACAGAAATCTTCTATTGCAGAAAAATATTATTCCTCACAGCTTTGCACTCTCTTTGAAATAGTTTATTGTGTTGTACTGATTGTCAAACAGCAGGTGTTCCTTTAGGCTTGTAGGTTTATTGGCATGGGTGAATTCTAGCCCATATGAGTATATCTGCTCTTAAAAAATTCTTCCTTTGATTCTGCGCAATTCTGGATGGAAGGAAGTAGTCCAGAAGGACTTGAATAATCAATTACTATGTAGCCAAAGTCTAGTTGGAGAGGTGCATTGGATATCTTTTTTATATTTTTGTTCCTTTTTTCCTTTTTTGGTATATTTTGTTGTTACTGATTTATTTTTATTTGTATTTATGTATTTTAGTATTGTATTTTAGATTATTAAAAAAATCTTCTTTATCTAAACTCTCTCTCCCCACTGTCTGAGCAGCAAGCTCTATCTGATCTTTATATTTTTTAAAAACATGATATAATTTTATATAATAGTGCAGCTAATTTTAAAATGGCATTATGCCATCTTCTGGTTGCTTCAGGTAGAGTGGTAGAGATCAGTTTTTAATTATACAGCTACTGCAAAAAGCTTTTCATGTTATTAAATCTTCACAATGAACAGAGAGCCAACCCATTTGAGGGTACTGAGAATATGAAAGTGTTCTAAAGCAAAGTGTGCAGGTGCCAAGTTTAAATTTAGAGCAAACAATTATTGGATTAACAATCATCCATAGAGTTACAATAAAGCATCCCATTAAGAGAGTCTTCAGGCTATTGGGCTGGATAAAAATGTATTTAATAATAATAATTATCAAAACTTAATCCAGAAATCTCATTTTTAATATTCTCCATGGTTTAGTCTATCCACAGATTAAGGGTGTGTTAGTCATTTGCTTTGCCTTTTCAATTTAACCAATTTAATTTCAGTTCATTATTTTAATTAAATTAAATTAAATTTCAGTTTATTATATTAGAACAAAAATATGTATTGATCAATACAGCTGACATTTTGCAACTGTCAAATGAAAATCAGGTTTTCATGTCTTAATAATTCAAAAGAACATTTCCTGTTTGTTCAGAAGATTTGAACATAGTGGTACAAGTAGTATTCAGCAATACCAACTTATAGTGAACACCTTTGTTGCAGTGAAACACTCTCTAAAAAATCTATGACAAATATCCCAAGCATGAGTAAAACCACAACTTGGACTTTCCAAACCCCACGCATTGCTTTTGAAATTCTCCTGCAGTTGGGTCCTGCTATTCAATTTAAGGGAGGTTTTGCTTTATGTTATCTATCTGGACTCATTGCATGGATTTTTGGTTTCTGACCTATTTACAACTCTTATCTTTATTAAAGAATGTTTTTGGCTTTGCCATGGATGAATGAGTAATTACGTTTTTTACCTGCATGCAGTTATTATTTCTCTGATGTGGTCTGTGTCAATTTAATAGTAGCTATCATATTAAATGCCCAATCCTTTGCTTTCATGGATCAGCTCACAAATCAGGGATCCAATTCTTTCTAGACAGTGTGGAGTACCAAGTATATATCACAATGCAGTTCATACAATGAATTTTTATTTATTTATTTATTTAAAGCATTTTACCCCATCCTTTACAGGCATCCCAGGACAGTGATAATTTTAATGGCAATTTTTATTTTTTATGGCAATCTCTGTAATACAGAGACTTGACAACCTCTTCAGAATGTGGAAAAGAGGTTTAGGAGTTGACAACATGCTTTGGGGAGACTTGCATATCTGATATTGCTCATAATAAACTGATATAGAGACAGTACCAAAATCAACATACAGCTCATGATGCTTGCAAGCAGTATATGTGACTGCTTCTTAGGCAAACTAGAACATCCTCCCTGATTGTAGGAGGGAGATTTCCAATATAATCCACTTTTAAAGAAGAGCTTCTACTGTCTGGCTCCCACACAGTTCACTGGAAATAAACCTACCACTCAGTTTTGTATTTGAGTTCATTAGCACATATCCAGATAGATTCTCTCTGGCTGGTGATATGATCTGCTTTTACACTCTTTAAGTCCAGTAATGAAACAAATTTTAAAAGGTTATCAAAAGATGTTCTCAGCTACCATTTTACAATTGTGGATAGGTTTTGTGCTCTAAAAATGGTAGCAATGACAAAAATAATGCTGAGAGAATCACAAACATAGATCTATAAAAAGATCTAGGCATGCACAATCCAGGCACTGTCTTCAAGCCTAACAAACTTCCCAGGGGAGTTGTTAGGAAAGCAGATGTGAAGCTCCGGCTCAGCTTTCCCTTTGTACCAAACTTTGGAGAAAGGCAGAAACAGCTTCTGTCTTGCTACTTCTGGCTTTCTCAAAAACAGCCTGAAAATGAACATGAGACCTTGCAATGCCTTCCAGGGGCCTCAGTATGCACAATCTCGCATCTTACCCATTCACTGGACCTGTGAAGTACATTAAGCTGAGAGACTTTGACTTCTTTGTGTATAAGAGAGGGCTTTGGGTGAAATGCTTCTCTTGCTCCTGGCATGAGGTGAAAGATCACCCTGTGCAGTGCAAAAAGGAGTGCGAGTTGTCCATGTCATGGGGGCAGGAAGGATTGGCAGAATTAAATATAAGATTGTCATTGATCCTCCATCTTCTGCTGTGCTCCAATATCTGACCCAAATCTGTCAGGTTGTCACTCTTCCCTAAAAAGCAAACTGTGAGTGTAAAATCTGGAGGAGTGCTTCTCAGTGGGACATAACGCAGTCTGCTGAAGGACCCATTTAGATTTTATGAAGGCAGCATATTCCCAGGGAAGAGAACAGAATATGGCTAGCCAGCTACCTTAATTTTATATGTAAGGACACAGAAATGCAAGTTGACTCTGGAGAATACTCTTGTTGTGAATTCTTAATTAGAGGATACTGGAAACAATTTCCATCAATCCCAGATATGTACCTGATTTTTCACTTATTCCCAGTCTGTTTTGATCGACATCCTATTGATGTGCCTATATATCAGGGAGGTGCAATGTTCAGCCTCTGGAGGCTTCACAACTGACTCACAGAGCCTCCTTGGTTCTTCAGAACCAGGTTTTCCTGTAGGATTTCTCTAGTCACCTATCAAGTGTGCTCATCAACACCTCTCCTGACACCCACCAAGTTCTCTGTCTCCCTGCCCCCCGACTTTTAATACTTGTTTTAAACTGGGAAGCTGCCATGCTTTACAGTGAGAGCTGTCCTCCAACACCAACTATATTCATGTTCAAAAGAGCTTTGTGTTTTGGAGCTCAGAAGCTACCTTGCCTCATACTTAGGTTCCTGTACAAGTTACATTTCTTTTAGTCTCATTAGTTCAGCATTTGGGAAGTGAGTCTTTTGTGACCAGCCATGCTAACTATGGCTGCCATTTCATAAATAGGAAAGCCCCAATCCCATGGCAACCATATTTAGAAAGCACCCACACTACTCCCTCCAAATTCCAAGCATGTCTAGCAACTCAAAAAGATTGGAGGAGTCACTTCTCTTAACATGGGGGATATGGCTGGGCCAGGGAACAGTCCTTTCTGCATGTAGAAAGGGGGAATAGTCAGGGGTGGAGAAATGATGTCACTGGACATAGCCACGCCCACTAACATCATCAGTACTGGTTTCCCAGTACATTTATGAATATGTTCATAGACTTACATATTTAAAATGATATTTTGGCTGCCTGTAAGGATAGAACCCTTTCAAGGAGGTGAGCATTCTGCTTCCAGATTTAGATTTGCAATAAAATGTAATCATGAATAATGAATTGAGGAAAATGATTGTTAATTAAATGTTCTGCCAGTCTCTGTTTCCTTTTACATATTTATTAACCCCATTAAAAAG